AAAAAAAAAAAAAAAAAAAGAGTCAATGATTAACCCAAAAGTAGTATTGAATTCTTTACCTCAAGTACTTCTTCTCTGGAATTCTCCATTAAGTCTTCAGAAGCCTCCAAACTCAAATTTAAGAACATTAATAAATTTAGTAACCCCTATTTCGTTTTTTAAAAATAATTTAAAAAAAATTTTCATTTCTTTCTTTTTTTCTTTCTTTTTTTTTTTCTTTGTGGTACGCGGGCCTCTCACTGTTGTGGCCTCTCCCGTTGCGGAGCAAGGCTCTGGACGCGCAGGCTCAGCGGCCACGGCTCACGGGCCCAGCCGCTCCATGACATGTGGGATCTTCCTGGACCGGGGCACGAACCCGCGTCCCCTGCATCGGCGGGCGGACTCTCAACCACTGCGCCACCAGGGAAGCCCCATTTATTTATTTTTGACTGCATTGGATCTTCACTGCTGTGCGCAGGCTTTCTCTAGTTGTAGCGAGTGGGTGCTACTCTTCGTTGTGGTGTGAAGGCTTCTCATGGTGGTGGCAACTCCACCATGAGATGTGGAGCATGGGCTTCGTTGTGGAGCATGGGCTGTAGGTGCACGGGCTTCAGTAGTTGTGGCGTGCGGGCTCAGTAGTTGTGGCTTGTGGGCTCTAGAGCACAGGCTCAGTAGTTGCGGTGCACGGGCTTAGCTGCTCCACAGCATGTGTGATCTTCCCGGACCAGGGCTCGAACCCATGTCCCCTGCATTGGCAGGAGGATTCTCAACCACTGAGCCACCAGGGAAGCCCTATTTCTTTTCTTTTCTTTTTTGAAAATATTTATTTATTTATTTTTGGCTCCGTGCGGGCTTCCTCTAGTTGCAGTGAGCGGGGGCTACTCTTTGTTTCAGTGTGCAGGCTTCTCATTACGGTGGCTTGTCTTGTTGAGGAGCACGGGCTCTAGGCACATGGGCTTCAGTCGTTGTGGCATGTGGGCTTCAGTAGTTGTGGAATGCGGGCTTCAGGAGTTGTGGCTTGTGGGCTTTGGAGCGCAGGCTCAGTAGTTGTGGCTCACGGGCTTAGTTGCTCCGCGGCATGTGGGATCTTCCCAGACCAGGGCTCGAACCCATGTCCCCTGCATTGGCAGGCAGATTCTTAATCACTGGGCAACCAGGGGAGCCCAATAACCCTATTTCTTAAGAAGTTCACAATTCAGGATGAAAATCAATATTCCAGTAATAACATAATATACCATCATCTAAAAAATTAATCCACTCAAGTTCTACTGAAACAGTGCATTATCACTGAAAAAGAATTTTTTTTTTTGCATCAAATAAGTTTTATGTATATATATTTTTTTCTAGAGACTCGGGATTTACAGATGAGTAAAACCAGCAAATTGATATAACCAATTATTTATACCAACAAATAATATTTACACACCAGAATAAAGAAATCAGATTTATATAATGCAACAGCAATAAAAATACTGTTCTACAACTAATAACTTAAGATGACTGATCAAGATCTAAGCCCTTAACACATCAGTGAGAGTCGTGAATTTGCCCAGCATCTCAGCTCCACCTAGAGATGTGAGGGACTTAGGGATGGCATTCTGCTCCAGACGATAATAGCATCACATTTTGTGTTGAATCTAAAAGACTCTTTTCTGAGATGAGGAACCCAGCAGGGATTTTTCTCACTTGACTGGGAGGTGAGGTGTCAAAGTCAAATGCTCTTAATTCCAGCCCCGCCCCGGGCTCCACCATGTTGGGTCTTGTGGGTCATGTGGCCGTTGCCCCGGCCTCTGGGGCCTTTCAGGGACTCAGCCCTTCAGCGCCGCTACCCCAAGCCTAGCTCATACTGGGAGCCGCTCCAGCCTGCCAGAGACAATGCCGCTTAAAAATCTCCCTCGCCAAAGGCAGGTGCCGCCACTGGGCATATTGTCGTGGTCATTGGTGTAGCGGTGGATGTCCAATTTGATGAGGGACTTCCACCCCTCCTAAACGCCCTGGAAGTGCAAGGCAGGGAGACCAGGCTGGTTTTGGAGGTGGCCCAGCATTTGGGTGACAGCACGGCAAGGACCACTGCCATGGATGGTACGGAAGGCTTGGTTAGAGGCCAGAAGTCCTGGATTCTGGTGCACCAGTCAAAATTCCTGTTGGCCCCGAGACCTTGGGCAGAATCATGAACGTCATTGGAGAATATATTGATGAGGGAGGTCCCATGAAAAAGAGTCATTTTAAACTGCTTGAAAAATAAGAACATTTTATAAAATATTTTTATAAGGCCTTAAAGCCTTTTCTAGCAACTCCCTACTCCTTCCAATGATGCTTTAAAAATAAACCTTGATCACTACTTTGATCAATACTCACATCTTGATTATATTCCAGGAAGACATGGAAATTTAAATCTTTCCTCAAAATAGGATGTGCTGCCACACGACACAGGAACACTTCATGCATTGCAACGGTCTTCTTGAATATTGCCAAATACTCACTAGAAACAATACACAAAACGAAAGGTAAAATACTGCAGAAAAACATCTGCAACAATTTTTTCAGCAAATACTCTTTGAATTACTCTAAATGCAAAATTAGAGATACAAAGATATAATCCATGTAAACAAAGCTTTTAGTTGAACTGTTAATGAAATATTCAATATATAAAACCCAGCTCTGAAAAGACTTCATGCTAGTTAATAGTATTTATTACATTTAAATGTTAATATTTTTAGGTTTTATGAACCTTTCTTCCTATGCAGGTTGATGTTAAAGGTAACTATAGGGGTTTTTGTTTTTAGCTTCAGAGAAAGTATACTACAAATTATACTGTACAACTTTAATAATTCAATTTCTAGATAATTACTGCTTTTAAACACCTTCATACAAAAAAAAAATCAGAAACCAAACCTCAGTAATCATATTTTCAACATTAATAACTATTTTCATCTAATGAGCCAAGCACACAAGAAAGAAACACACCATGGAGAGACTAATTTTTGCCATTACAATTGAAGAACTGTGTTTAAAATATTTTACTATCATCAGTGAATCACAGCGATCATATAGTAATACATGTCAGTTTCGAAAAAACACTCAAGGAAAAGGCCCAATATTCTTGCTTCAACTACGTGCAAGGATGATAAGTTTTACATACCAGCAAACCAGCAGGACCAATGTTGGGAGAAGTTTGATCTCTGTGAGGGTAGTCATTCAGTGAAGACAAAAAAGAAGGATGCAGAGGATGGAGGTAGCAGGAGAATAAACCCAAGGTTCTCTGTTATCCAACCCCTAACCAGACCACAAAAGAATCATGATCAGGGCCACTGGAAAACCACTGATTCTTTCAATATTAATGTGCTCTGCTGATTTCCAGCTTTCAGTCTTATAAACTATAGAATTATATATCTGTCTGCTATCAGACTACTGCTTGCACTCAGTATGGACAGAATTCTTAAAACATCTGTCACTTACACTTTAACAAAGAAGACCTACTTTGTTAATTTATCTTGTCAAGAGTTTAGCATCTGAAGGAGTCTAGTAGCACTGCGAAAATATGCTTAAAAACTGAAATTCAGTGCAAGAAGAGAAAAGGAAATGCACAAAGGGGAGAAATGACCAGAAAAAGAGTGGTGAACGTGATGATAACGCAAGGAAAGTTATTTCCTTGTATAACTCTCAAAATACAGAAAAACGATATAAAGCAAATCCAAAATTATTTCGAATGTTTAATAAAAGAGGAAAAACTGTATTTTCAGCAAATATGCTAAAAATGAAATAGAAATTAACTCAATTTTTTTCAAGGATTTAATATGTCTAGTATATATGAAACTAGTAATCACTTAATAAAAAACGTTAAAAAACTATTCTCTATTCTCTCTCTGCTCCTATTCTTTTCCCTTCAGCCAGAAGCCACAGGCAGAGAAAAGAGGAGGGGGAAAATTACACACACACACACACACACACACACACACACACACACTTTTTGAAAAAGAAAGCAGAATATATTCAGAGTTGCTCAGTGCACACTGCTATGAGAAACAGAAGTCTTGGTAGTATGCACTTGTCAAAAAGAGAGAACCAGGTGAGTAGTGACTAAGGCCTTGTAAATAAAAAATGAAAAGATTTACACTGTGCTTTAAAAAAGTCATTATTTCCCTTTCTACTATTTTTTATAAACTTTTGGATCCCCTGTTTTCAATTTTCAGAGTTTATTTAAAACTGTAATTTAAAGAATTTTAAAGTGCAGACTATTATTCTATAATTTTCCTGTAGGCTCTGATCATGACCATTAACACTGGTTGTATGGCTTAAACCTGTATCTTCCAGGAAGGGTCAATGTGGTGAAATGATTGAAAGGATGGGATATCAGAGAGCAAAAAAACCAAAACCAAAACAAAACAAAAAAGGCACTAAAATAAGCACAATTAACAAGAAAAATCACATACGCTTCCAGCTCCTGTTTCATCTTTGTGAATTCTTCCTTTGTCATAGACCCTTCTCCTTCTCCAAGTTTCTGTAGTTTTTCCCTTGAGGCATCAAAATCTGGTCTTGGTGGTGCTGGAGGGATCTGTAATGGAACCAAATCACTCGTTTTTTTTTTGTTGTTGTTGTTTTTTGACCACACTGCACGGCATGCGGGATCTTAGTTCCCTGACCAGGGATCAAACCCATGCCCCCTGCAGTGGAAGCACGGAGTCTTAACCACTGGGCTGCCAGGGAAGTCCCCCAAATCACTAGTTTTAAAGACTTTAATTTCTTGCAGCAATTGTACTACTGCCACCATAAAAGACTATTGTCTGAGAGAGCTAAAGTCATCCTGAATGAACTGGATACCAGGAATATCCCGATTAAGGTTAGAGAATTTGATTAAGTCTAGAAATTAAGATCCTTGAGATCCTTTATACCAAGGAAGAAATAAGAGCAGAGTACTATTTTCTGGTGTTAGAACAGTACCAGAACTTTAGTCTGCAGATTCTAGATGTGGCAACCTAGAGTCCTCAAATGTCTATGTGCATTAAGCTTTGCGTACACACTAAATAAATGTGTAGCAAATATGTATACTATTTTTCAAAAGTATGTAAATGGTATGATTAGAGTGTACCACCAGAGGCAAAAAGCACTGACTTAAAAACAAGAGAACAAGATACAGACTAATGACTAACCTCATCTTATTCACCCACAGTAAGTGGGTAAGTAAGCACTACCTTAAATAAAAATATAAGATCTAGAAGAGACATATCATTCAAGGGAAGGATATAAGAAAAAACTTATCATAGGAGGAAGAGCCTACAAGTAAGAACTGTTAAGGGGAAATGATGGAAAGCAAAGAGAGCAAGTAAGAGGAAAAAAAGGTTAAGTAGTGGAAAGTTAAAATAACAATGACTTGAAGAAAAGTATTACACCAAGAAAAGCAATAGGGAAGGAAGCATCAAATACAGATCAGCACACATTCATTGATGCCCGCACACAGCATCTACTATGTGCCAAGCATGATACTGAACAACTGGCATATAAAGATAAATAAGACATGGTCTTGATCTTTGATGAGTGTTTAGTCTATGGGAGAAAAAAGTAGTAAGAAAATGTCATCACACAAGAAGATGAGGGAATAAAAGGCAGAAATAGGAGGAGCTTCCAGGCTGGTAAACACATCGACATGCTGGGAAAATGGAAGGTGGTACAACATCCTGGAAAGGTCATGAAAGTTCTCTGTCAACCCCCGACTCCAATACCTCATCCTATGCATCTCTTCTTCCATTTGGCTGTTCCTGAGTTGTATCCTTTATATAAACTGTTAATTAACCAAAAAGAAAAAAAGAAAAAGTACTGCCAGTTGTCCACCAAACTCAACTTGTAGAAAGAAAAAAAAAGCAAATGATTGAGAAGGAGGGGCCACAAGGATAAAGATGGAATCAGGTGAGGTCAGGATGATTTCAAGGAAATCAAATGAAACTAAACTTCAGAAATCTGACTGTGGTCAACAGCTGAGGCACAACACGCAGTGCATATTTATATTCGATAATCTCTTAAGGAGCCCTCCAACTCTAAACATCTGTCTACCTAAGGGTTCAAGACCAGTATGGTTTGTAATACCCCCTTAGCTACTCCCTAGGACAAGCCCATTTCTATTTTAATAAACAGTAGGAATTTAAGTTTAAATGAGGGGGAATAACGTATCCATATCCCCACACTCCCAAACAAGACAACTCAGGATAAAAGTGGTAGTCAATTACATTTTGTAGCTGGCAATTTAAAAAACTACCTCAGTTCACTAGAAGTGCAAAATAAGATTTCAACACATAATAAAGTATCTAAAAAGCTCCTAGAAAATGGGATTAAGATGGAACCTCAACACTTACAATGTAACCTGCATAGTCTTCATTTTCAACGAAGGAATCGTGAAGCCAGATAAATTCCTCATGTTGTCGAACAACTGAAAACTCGTTTTGTTTAAAATTTGGCAATGAACTCTGCAAAGAAAGAGATTCTCTCAAATAAAAATCGAAGTTACACTAAAAACACTTTTAACATTTTATACCTTATTTTTTAAAATTAGTCTTTTATGAAAGATTTTCAGTGCTTTTACACTCTATTATGAAAACCCTGAGACACCCAGACAAAATTATCCTGGGATCTTTGAGAAAATAAGCTGACAACCTCTTACTATATTGTACTTCTACCATTACAAAGTTATCCTATAAATATAACAAACTCAACTATTCAAACAAAGAAAAATAGATCACAATCTGAAAATGTGCCTGAGAACTGAAATCTAAAAAGAAAATAGTCTGTTAAAACAGTAATTTAGGGCTTCCCTGGTGGTGCAGTGGTTGAGAGTCCGTCTGCCGATGCAGGGGACACGGGTTCGTGCCCCGGTCTGGGAAGATCCCACATGCCACGGAGCGGCTAGGCCCGTGAGCGATGGCCACTGAGCCTGCGCGTCTGGAGCCTGTGCTCCGCAACGGGAGAGGCCACAACAGTGAGAGGCCCGCGTACCACAAAAAAAACACAACAACAACAACAGTAATTTAACTGAAGGAATGTAACAAAATTGAAAATAACAAGAATGGTAAAAGATATTAAAGTCTAGAGAAAATTAAATTTGTACTATGTCTAAGTTCTATGATTAATTCTCAAATGTTAATCTTTAAAAAGTACACTTCACTAAAACGTTTTGTTAAAATAACAGCAGTGAATTATAAACTAAAATAGAATTTCTAATTATGTCCTAAACCAAAATTCTAGTCAATATATTATTACATATGTAACATTAGCACAATAACTAAAATAACAGAAGTACAAAATCCCATTTACCTTTGTGTGAACAGTGAATTTTACTTTATCTCTCTCACTAAGAGCATCAGAAATGTCCACCTGCAGAGCAGCATCACTTTGAAGATCTACATTTATTGCTTTAAGCTAGAAAAAGAAAATAACAACTCAATGAAAATTCTGTAGGCTTTTATACAATTTAATTCTTCTCCCAGACAATAAGACAATGCAAAAACGAAACTAAAGAATCTGAAATCTAAAAAGTACTCAAGTTCATTTACTCTATGTATCTATATCTGTACCTTTCTATCTATCTATCTATTTGGGGGGAGGTGCTTTGGGTATGTTATTATCTTAACCAATTTTCATTCTACACCATGCAACTATACTTTGCTTTGTATGAGTCAATGTGCTAAACATTATTACAGTTTCACCCAAAAAGTAAACTATTTTCCAAGAAGATGGTCCTTTAAAAGTTCAAGTGTTCTAAAATGTATCTACCTTTAAGAATAAGAAAAATAATAAAAAGAATATTGGCCAATCATTTAAACTCTATTGCTTATTTTAATTCAGGAATATACAATAAAACTATTAATGATAATTAAATATATTACATATATGTATTATGTATATGTAAAATGCTAAAAAATGATAACATATAATAAATACTCAATAATTAACTCCTGTGACATGAACTAAATTTTACTCTACAGTACTCTTTAATTCTTCTAAACTAAATTTTACTCTATACACCCATTTCTATTTACCCATTTATGAGAAAACTTCTCCACATATAATTCTAATCATAATTCTACTTATAATTCTTAAATTTCATCCATTTTTCTTCCCCTTTAAACAAATAAACATTCTAACATCTTTGGGTAATTTGGAGATTTACAAAAGAAGCAAACACACTAAAAGATAAAGTCTCAGCCAGCTGCAAAGATATGAAATATTTAAAGTGTAACTAAGTAGCCTGCTTCAAATACTCTAGTTGTAAAAGCCAGGACTGACTTTGGAATCTTACCTAGTCATTAGTGTTTCAAATTTCAATTACAATGTAAATGGAAAAAATGCTGGAAGCAAAATTGTTTATTCTATGATCTCAATTATATTAAAAATAATGCAAAAATGGTTCTGAAGAACCTAGGGGCAGGACAGGAATAAAGACGCAGACATAGAGAATGGACTTGAGGACACGGGGAGCGGGAAGGGTAAGCTGGGACAAAGTGAGAGAGTGGCATGGACTTATATACATTACCAAATGTAAAATAGATAGCTAGTGGGAAGCAGCCGCATAGCACAGGGAGATCAGCTCATGCTTTGTGACCACCTAGAGGGGTGGGATAGGGAGGGTGTGAGGGAGACGAAAAGAGGGAGGAGATATGTGGATACATGATACGTATAGCTGATTCACTTTGATGTAAAGCAGAAACTAACACACCATTGTAAAGCAATTATACTCTAATAAAGATGTTAAAAAAATGCATACATAAAAGGCTTACAGGAAATACAACAAAATATGAGTTGCAGTGGATTTGCTTCTTTGTATATTCTTTTATTCTCCCAACTTTCCACAATGTGCATGTATTACTTTTATAAATAGGAAAAAAATAAGCCTTTAAGAAATCTTGCGATTTATTAAAAGATGAATTTTGTGAAGTTTTCCATTAAATAGGGTCGTTTATTAGTAATGAAAGTAACATACTATTTCATTTTTGCTCTTTTGGTTCTATATTGACTAGACATGTTTTTAAAAAATAAATACCATTACATACAACCTAACTGAAGAGTCACAGAAGAAATTAATCACTATTTAAATTGCATGGCCTTTAAATGAAAACTTTATTTATAACTTTAATAAGTTTATATTAAAATAAATTTCAATCAGTAATCATATTTTTTAAATACTATAAACTTACATAAAAATATTTTAAAATGTTTAAAAAATTGCTATTGTACTCAATGCTACATGTAGCCCTCTGTCTGATAAAAGAAATGAACTTAAAGGTTGTTCTGAATTACAAAGGAGTATTCATTTTCATTTTCCAACTACCTTCATTGCTTCTGAAGTATTGGAAACATTAGAGAGTACTTTGTTCTTTGGTTTTCTTGCTTTTATTTAGTCTTATGTCTTCAAACTGTCCTTCCTACCTGTTCTCTAACCCCTTACCTTAATTCTAATTTAAGAAATCTGTTTCCTTATTTCTCTTTACTCACATTCAAGCCACTCTTAAGATGTTTATTGTGGTGGGATGAATTACAGCTCCCCAAAAGACATCCATATCCAAATCCCTGTGAATGTTACCTTATATGGTAAAAAAGATGGGGAGATTATCCTGGATTATCCAGGTGGGTCCTAAATACAATTACATGTATCTTTATAAGAAGGAGGCAGAGGGAAATTTGACACAGACAAAAGAAGAGAAGGCAACTTAACTACGGAGGCAGAGATTAGAGTGGTAAAGCCACAAGCCAAGGATTGCAGGCAGCCACGAGAAAGCTGGAAGAGATAAGTAACTAATTCTTCGCTAGAGCCTCAGGGAGCATGGCCCTGCCAACACCTTGATCTCAGCTCAGTGATAGTGATTTCAGACTTCGGGCCTGCAGAACTGTGAGAGAATAAATTCTGTTGTGTTAACCCGTCAGGTTTGCAGTAATTTGTTATAGCAGCCACAGGAAACTCATAAATTTATCATATGGTTTTTGGAATAATAACCTTAGCAGTTCTCCATTTCTTGTTTTCACTGCCTAGTCTAGGATTTTTCAGACACAACTCATAAGACTCAACCTGGATGCTTGTTAAAAAATACAAAATCCCACGCCCTATCCCAGACGTATCAAAACAGAATATTCAGAATGAGCCTTAAAAACTGTACTTGGGAACACCGGCCTAGATTTTCCATGGTGTCTTTGTCTTTACATTCTGTCAAAACTTCATCTCAACTGCTAATATTTTCTTTTCAATGATTATATAAAATATTTCTGCCAGATTTCCTATCTCTAAGTATATTTTAATTTTCAGGTTTATTTTCTTTTTTTTTAACCGTTGCGCCATCAATTTGGAAACACACCTTTCAGGATTTCTACATATGAAGGGCTGTTATTTTTTCTTCCAATTAAAGATTATTTTAAATTATTAAAATATTTCTCTGTCTTCCATTTCGTTATCCTTTTATACCAAATACACTGTTCCCTTTTGCTTTGTTTTGTCTGATAGTAAAACACCTGGGTTTTTAAAATTGTAACTTATCGGGGCTTCCCTGGTGGCGCAGTGATTGAGAGTCTGCCTGCCGATGCAGGGGACATGGGTTCGTGTCCCGGTCCGGGAAGATCCCGCATGCCGTGGAGCGGCTGGGCCCGTGAGCCATGGCCGCTGAGCCTGCGCATCCGGAGCCTGTGCTCTGCAACGGGAGAGGCCACAACAGTGAGAGGCCCGCGTACGGCAAAAAATAAATAAATAAATAAATAAAATAAAATAAAATTGTAACTTATCAATAAAAAACAGTCCTGTATTATACATTTACCACTTTTGGTCTTGTACTTTATTTTTCAGGTATAGTTTACATATAATGAACTGCAGATTTTAAGTATATAGTTTGAAGAGTTTAAACAAATATGTAGGTTACACCCCTGTAATCATCACCATAATTAAGATATGGAACATTTCCATCAGCCCCAGAAGTTCCCTCCTTTGCTTTTATTCCTCTACTTCTTACTTTCTAACTCTTTGATAAATTCTCTCTTGTATGCCTTATTAAAGCATATTAAAGCACTGGAAAATATGTCTTCCAATCAGTTGTGCCTTAAATTTAATAAAATATCATACTGTAAATTTAGTGTGTGGTTTTTTTTGTTTTTGTTTCTTTGGCCATGACGAACGGCTTGCAGGATCTTAGTTCCCCAACCGGGGTGGAACCCAGGCCCCCTGCAGTGGAATCACGGAGTCCTAACCACTGGACAGCAGGGAATTCCTGTAAATTTAGTGTTAATTACATAAAATGTACACAGATTTTCCAGGTGGATTTTCTTCATTTACAGAAAAGTCAGTAATTTTAGACAGTTTTCCTTAAGGGGAAGAGTCAAAGCAAACAACTTGTGATTCATCAACATTTAATTAACTGTGCAAGTGGTGAGGTCAGTTTGAGGAAATTCTAACTGGACTATATTCACCAGTTTAATCCTTATCTGGGCCAATAAACTTTGTATTTCCTTTTGTCAAAGACTGACTAGGTTAAACACTTGTGTCATGGTCAAGAGAAAGCCCAGGCAGAGAAAATGATTAAGCAAAACACACTATCCTTAGAAAAACAATCTAAAGACACTGACCTACTGCTGATAGATTAATTCTTCACATATAATTACTTAGTAAAGAGGACATTTACTATTAGTTTACTACACTGATGTGTTTACATGTTAAAGTATCAACCTTATGACACTCCTAAAAACTTAATTGTTGGGCTTCCCTGGTGGCGCAGTGGTTGAGAGTCCGCCTGCCGATGCAGGGCACACGGGTTCGTGCCCCGGTCCGGGAAGATCCCACATGCCGCGGAGCGGGTAGGCCCGTGAGCCATGGCCGCTGAGCCTGCGCGTCCGG